GAGATGATTCTGGTTAATTTCGACGGTATCATCAGTCATGTGCAGCTCGCCTGAGTTGACGCAGGCCTCGACTAGAACGAAAATCCTTTGGGGCTCCCCTTTCGAACTATTAGTCCATCAGAAATTAAATAAACATCCCAGAGAACTTGGTTGAAATACTATACCCAAGCACCATATTGAGAGTTTCTAGACGCAATAGTCAAGTGATTATTGTACGTCTTGTAAATCGAGAAGTACACAGGGTTAACAACAGAAACACTGTAGTACTTCCCATCGTATACATCAACTGAAGCGGCCATGGCACTCAGAAGCCTTGTTTCACACGAATCACGTCTACCTCTCAAGAACGATTAGCATGACTCGCAATACTACGGTCAGAGGGATGTCTAAAACACGATTACAGAAGCGGCATTTCCATGTGATTACAGTTGCGTAAGTGACTGACCAGACTTATATAAGAGTTACTTCAACTCACCACGAATCATTGAATAGAGTGCAGGGATGGCTCGGGGATTTAAAGGTCATAAGGCTGTTTACTTGTCAAAAACCCCTGCACGGAACCTCCGTACTTTCTGTTCTAGTCCCGACGAGGGTAAGACAAGGCACATTTCAATACCGACTTGCCTAAACGGGCCAAGGCTTACTGCGATCAGCAGAGCTGAACCACCTGTATTTTACCGAAGTACCGAACTTTATGTCACTGCTGGAAAAGATAAGATCAATGTCAGCAGAGCAAGAAATAAGCATATAAATAGATCTGACATCTGTCATCTTCCCTTACATCCATTTCTTCATTTTCACACAACCTCACAATAATACTAGCTTTCATTTCTTAGCCATGGCTCACCAACAAGGATACCCGCAGCATCAACAAGCGATGCAACCCCCAAGCAATGACAGAGGGGCCTTTCCAGGCGGTACCTACAGCATCGCCCACCGCGACACCAACGCCGTGCTCAATGTGGATCTCCAGCAGGGCGCCGTGGTGCGCTCCAAGTCAGGTGCCATGATTCACATGTCTGGCTCTATTGAGCTAGCTGGAAAGTCCAAATTCTCTCTGGGTAAGCTCTTTACCGGTGGTAACCTGTACGAGTCGACGTATACCGGCCCCGGACGCATCGCGCTTGGTCCAACGCTGTTTGGGGATATCATTACCCTGCATGTTGATGGTCACCAGTCTTGGACCATCGGCAGAGACGCTTTCCTCGCCTGCACTTCCGAGGTTAGCAAGAAGAGAGAGACTCAGGGTATTGGCAAGGCGCTGTTCTCGGGGGAGGATCTCTTTGTCTTTCGTATTGAGGGTCAAGGAATTATGTGGCTGACAAGCTTTGGCGCTGTCGACCGACTGGACGTAAGATTTCACAAACATTTAATTACCGGGCGCCACTGACTCTGATGAATAGCTTCGGCCTGGAGAAGAACATATTGTTGATAACGGGCATCTTGTGGCTTGGAGCTGCAAGTACTCCATCGAAAAGGCTGGTGGAGGAGCTATGACCGGATTGAAGACGGGCGAAGGTCTGGTATGCCGTTTCACTGGCCCTGGCTCAGTTTATGTACAGACCCGAAACATGGATGAGTTTCAATCATTTATCAAGGCAACTGTCGGAGCCTAGATCTGTTAGACTTATCGAAGCTGAGGCTTTCCACGGTCCACTATCCCTCTAGCATATCTCATCTAAACTTACAGATAAATATGTGCATGGAACGTCAGTCGGACCAGCCAATCTATAAGAGTGTAACCATGGTGTGATGGAAACTAAGCCTTGACTTGAGGTTACCTCGCACCTAAGCGATACGTGTGATTGCGGCATAAGAAATTGGCGCGCGACTGAATTCAGATGCGTTGAATGTGTAAGCTACAGTCACCTACTAGACCTCTTCCTTCACAATTTCATTAGACATCGGTCAGAACTACTTTCCTTCATCAATCCTGTTGGTTCTCGTAACCCTCCGGCTTTTCCATCCCTTGAGAATCAAAAAACTTTGATGTACCTAGTGGCTGTTTTAATGGAGACATTTTAATCATGAGTCATTAGGAACTTACAAGAATAACCTTTCCAATCGTTATTGTCTTTTGGATTGCAGTGGCAACGAAGTTCGAGTCTTTTCTTAACATCGGTTGGACAGTGAGTAAAAGGGTTATGCCAATACGCGATGTCGTCAAAGAAATGAATCTCGGACTTGTCAAGCATAAGCCCGGCTGCGATTGAGTGAATCGGAGCGTCGCCCCATCTCTCATAGAAAAAGCCGCCGGCTTGATCGAGATGGTTGAAATAATCCAGATATTTTTGACTTCTGAAAAAGTTCAAGTCGCCAATCTCAAAATTTGACCACTATATTGCAAATGTTAGTCTTCTCACTCGCCACTTTTGGTATTGTGCAATGACGTACAAAGTGACACTTGTTATATGTTGCCCCGTTGTCATCACTCAAAAAGTCCATGGAGTTCTGTGGGCTTAGATGACCAGGATTGCTCTCGAAGAATTGCTTGGTAGTGTCCCAAAGGGTAGGAATCGTCTCGATATACTCAGGAAGACTCAACACAAAGCTGTACTTTTTCTTCTGTTCCTTCATAAACTTGAAAGGGTCATAATCGAGATCGCAATACAGTTGAATGTCTGGCTCTACCCGCCAGTAGTAGTCATAGTTCATCATGAGAGGTTGACGAAAAAAGAAGCCCGATTCAAATCTGCACATATGGCGGTAGCTCACAGAGTCGCCGTAGATTATTTGCCTCTGGGCCATATCCTCTCTGGTTTTCTTTGCTTTGTCCTGGTCAATCCAATCAGGAAATGACCAGTTCTCTGGTGGGATCAAGCCGTAATAGGTTTTGCCTGATACAAGGGCGCTGGTTACTCTTTTGAAGGTAGCATCGAACGGCTTCTCGTTCAAGAACACCCAGTCATATCCGTATTTTCTATTGAAGCGATCTTCGACTTGCCGTATCGACTTGGCTATGTTCCATACATCGCTGTTCCGCGCAAGGGTGACGAATGTAGCGTTCATGCGGAAAGGCTGGTTTGGCGGCCGGTTTGGTGTTTGCTTTAACAAAGCATTATTTGTCTCTACGTGAGATGCGGCAGGCGGCTCAGCACGACAGTTCCGAGACCTGAAATCGAAGGCATTACACCGAGACTCTGAGAATATGCTTGCGGGCCTTAGATATACTAGTAGACCTAGTGCCTATGTATGCCATAAGCCGTCTAAGCCACACGGTCCAGAATCTCGGCCAGATCACAAAGAGAGCTTACCAGAAATATGAGGACAATGATCCTTAAATAGAGCCTGGATCTTTTGACAGAAACAGGCGCAGATCCGAAGCGCATATTGCCGTGAATGGTATGGTGTTGTAACCTATAAATAAAAGAAGGAATAGAAAATAAGAAAAAGATAAATAAGAGAAAAAGAAAACACAGAAGCCAGTAGAATAATAAAATCAACAGACAATCGACACAATAAGAAGAGGACTTTATTCGGTATTTAAAACAGGCAGTGTATCACATCATGGCGCTAAGTGCACAAGTTCGTAAAGAATTTAAGTTTGCTTTTATCCCCTGACACTCAAGGGCGATGTTCATCCAGTTGTGCCTAGATTCCAAACTCAATTCCAACCCTGCTACCTAGTCTTTAACTGGTAAACAAACCTACTGCTATAACCTCTATTTAGATCAGCTTATCCCTTAGGAAGTCAAACAGTAAGACAGTGGCGCTAGCATTTTAACATCATTTATAAGGCCCACCTATTCAGCTACTCTTGGTACACATTTTCGTTTCCAAGGGATAAGCAAGTGTTAATATCCTTGAAGCGGCGTCACTTAAGTCAATCAGCAGGATAGAACAATATACCTCTTGTATACAATGCCCTGAATTGGAGATGTTGCACCAACCTGATGCTTTGTAGTATTTACCCATATTGACCCTGATCTTCAGGCTCATGACCAAATCTCGGTTCAACATCTCTGGCGCCGTATTGAGAGGTTTTACGGCCAAAGCCTTGCCACTGCTCCAGCTCTCAAACGTGTCATTCTGTAGACCAATCATGTAGAAATTACAATATTCTTCTTCAAGGATCGGCGTTTTTATGCAAGATGTAAGCAAGAACCATGATTGTTTCCAGACCACGTTACGTAGACGTCTTGCTGAAACATGTTGAGCTTTGGCAAATCATTTCATAAAAGAGTTAAGGGAGCCCGATAAAACGTTCATTTCTGTCAGATATTTCGAGCTGAAATATCTCCATTGAAAGGCCGGCTGGGCCTTGATCGATGGGAACAACGCTAAATCCCAAGTCTGCAACCCACAATGACACCTTTGTGTTTCCTTACTCAGGGCTTGGTAGACGTCGTGAATTTGGTCTCAAGACTGTAGTCAAGGCAATTCACTCTCAGCTGTAGGTAGTCTACCTAATCATCTTGTTCATTTCGGTTGAATCCTCGTACACATGATGCTATAGAAGATTATCCTAAGCCTCGGCAATAATTGTAAACCAACACGCTTTCGCGGAGGGTGTAATTGTGCCAAGCTTTCATATATTGGGTTAGAAAAGGAGCCAGCCATAAGGATTACTCTATTTCTTTGAGGCCGTTAACAGAAATGGTCAAAAGCTTCTTTCCAAACTCTGCTTTATTCGCTGCAAGTATCGGCAGCGTTATTCAGAGCACCGTTTACCAACCCGAAGCTCCGCTTTGATGGACGTGGACCCGGACCAATTTTAAGATTAGCGTGCTTGTCTCGGGCAGATGGTTGCTCCGCAAGCAGGAGATCAGAGGCCAGATAACGTGAATTCGGCAGTGGCTGGAACCTAAAATAGCGAATAATGCCGATTACTCAACAACGCCGTCATACTACCCGATCGATTGATAAATGCGGTTTTCTCTTAACTCTAAAAAGTTGGTCAGATGGTGTCCATAAGGAACTCAATGCGTATATAAAGCATATGTTTGGCGACCAGTTATAACGAATTCCACGTCTTTTCATCCGAGATCAACGTTATCATCATGCCTATCATGAAGGCGCTCGTTTCGAACCGCAGCATCGTTACACGACTCGTCAACGCCACTCGCAGCAAGGCCATCGGTGGCCAGGGCGGTCGTGTCCAAGACGATGTACCCATTCCCTCCATCTCCTCTAACGAAATCCTCGTCAAAGTCAAAGCTGTAGCCCTCAACCCTACCGACTTTAAGCATCTCGACATTATTTCTCCACCCAACTCGATCATCGGATGCGATTACGCAGGTGTCGTCCATCAAGTGGGTGATTCCGCCAAGGACAAATGGAAAATCGGTGATCGTGTTGCCGGCGCTGTGCATGGAGGCTTGTACCCTGATAAGGGCGCCTTCGCAGAGTATTTGAAGATAGATTCAGATCTGGCCTTTAAAGTCCCAGATGGAATAAGCGATACTCAGGCAACTACATATGGTGTCTCTGCTGTGACAGCCATGCTGGTCCTCAATGTCCATCACGGGCTTCCCTTCCTCGACACGAAGCCTATGTCTCCCAAGGATGAATACATCTTTATTTATGCCGGATCAACCAGTGCAGGCCTATACCATATCCAACTGGCAAAAGCAGCTGGATACACGGTCGTCACAACTGCATCGCCGCGTTCATCCCAGCTAGTGAAGCAGTACGGCGCCGATGCAGTCTTTGACTATAACTCCCCCTCCGTGGCTGAAGATATCATTAAGGATTATCCCAAGATAACAAAAGCGGTGGATTGTTTCTCTGAGGGCAAGTCAACGTCCATCTGCGCCGCGGTTCTCAAGCCCAGTGGAGGGAAGGTGGTTACGCTATTACCCAACGGCAAATCTAGCACTCCAGGCGTGACTTACGACCTTGTCATGTCGTATACAGCAATGGGGCATGCGTTCCAGTGGCTACCACCAATTGGACCCAAGTTTGAAGCCAGGCCACAGGATCGAGCGGCCCTTGTTCGCTTTTATGAGACTCTACCACGAATTACTCACATCTTGAAACCTATTCCCACTATTGAGCTGAAGAGCGGCTTTGATGGTATACTTGAGGGGTTGGATAAATTGCGGGCGGGCCTGGTAGCGGGAGGCAAGCAGGTTGTCCGATTCAATGCATGAGAATAATAGACAGCGCTTTAAGCTCTAATAGTGATTTAGGATAGATAGCCTCTTTCAGAATTGCCTATTTATTCCTCCCCAATACCGGGATTGACAGACGCATTGGCTCCGCCCCTCTTCTTACCCTCCAGCGATTACTGATCTCCACAAGCTCTTCACAGCCCTCGACGGCCCATGACCACTTCGTAAGAAAGCCAGGTGTAGCCTCCCAACTCTGCATGTTATGCGGCTCACCCCAAATTATCAGCCCGTTGCGTCCGGCTGTAAGTTCGTCTGTATCTATGTAATTCTCCAAGATCAACCCTTGTGACTGCTTGGTCTCGGGGATAGTAGTAGAGAAGCTGAATGGTGTTCCTCGCTGCCAAGGCGCAGCAGTATAACTCATGAGATCGCCGACGAGATCGCGCCATAATTCAAAATTATCAAACCGACCTTCGCGTCGTATAAGATTGTCTCGTAGCTGGGCAAACGGCATAATGTTGATCCAAGGAAAATGGTACTGGGATAGTTGGAGTGTAGTGGGGGCCAGAGAAGGAGGAATATTGGGATTGGGGGGGTAGCGGGTTGTATCGTCTAGGCAGGGGCCGAAGACGGGACAGGTTGTAGGGTCTAGTGAAATTGTGTTTATAGTGCGTTTGATAGAGATGAAGGCGCGGTAGACGTTGAATTGAATGAGATGGAGGAGTTGATCGGAGGGGAGGGGGAATGTGATGTTAATGGGCTGGGGGGTTGAGTGTATGGTCATGATTTGATTGGGTTGATCTGCGAATGATGGTGCTTGAACAGCAGTGACACTTTCGGTAGCGCAGGGAAGTGTATAAGACGCATGATAGTTTGTAGACACGGCAGTTGAGTCCGTGTCCTTGTCTCGGGAACATTGATCATCAACCTCATCGACCCGCCAACGCCTAATCTCAAATGAATCCGGTCCTTGGTGTATCTCAAAATCTTTACCCTTAATTCGTTGTCCTAAAGACATTAATAAGCACGTCCAGTAATCTAGCCAGGGATAACTGACGATGGGCTCTCTGGTTCTTCCTGTTCTGCAGCTTTCTTCGCTGCCTATTCGCCTCGGCTATTGCGGAGAAATTATTCCTGGAGTCCATGCGATGTGTATTATCGACTTTAAGATGTTGTAAGGAGAAGACGATAAAATTGGCAGCCGAGTTCCGTCAGCGAGTTGAGAAATGCTCCGCCTGGCCTAGCGTAGTCAATTCCCGCCAGCTAAACCGGATTAGGATAAACTGTCATCAGCCCCACCTACGCTTCCGGCTCCAGGGCATTTAGGTGGAACGGGCTAGACCTGGAAAGGCAGGAATGTCATCAGCCCACTACACCAACTCACCCTACAGTTTGATTCTGAATAATCAAGATACAACTTCACCTTCCT